ACCCCCCTCACTCATCTCTCATCGAAGCAAATGCGACCCTCTGTCAAGGAGTTCCTCGACCGTTATTTACCCTGATCAGCACTGGTAAGAAGAGTTTTTAAAACTGCCTTTAGATTGGAAATTCGTCCACTTTGGAGAAAGCTATGATCACTTGAATATGTGTTCAAATTTCAATAGCAGATAAGCTGCTCCACGGTCAACACTCAAGATCATTTAGTAAACACCTGCATACATAGCTAGTTGCTCACAACTTGCTTATCATTTTGTTCCAATTCTTCGTGAAATTCATAATTGATGCCTTTCTTCGACATTTTATGCTTGTTGAATGATTTTTACGGTAGAGGTTAGGGCGCAGGGTTGTTTTTTCTGAAGAATGGTTTTCGAAGAGGGAATACAGCTTTTTCATCCTTCGATTTGTGAGGAGAGCCATTTCATGGAATCCGGCTTGAGTAGGGGAAGTATTTCGAAATTTTCAGCGACACCTCGCTTGAACCTGGGAAGAGGTATAATACATATAACAGTGAAGACACAATGTGTCAATTCCGTCAAACACGCTAGGCCGCAACTGTATATCTACAATTGAGTCATGCAATTCCACGAGCCTTTTTTGTTGTACTAAGTTTTCGTTAGTGAGGCTGCTACATTAGAAACAAGTAGTTACAGTTATAAGAGAATGATCATTTTTGATCACTATATACTTGTTTTCGAGTATAGGTCACGAAATCGGTCACGGTGCAATTTTCCTATAATTTTATAGAGCCGTTGGCTGAAGTGATCGGAGTCACGCTAGCACAGCTGGTTGCAGGATCGTTCATAGGCGCAGCTCTTGGTAGGCTTCTTTTTCACCTGATTACACCATCACATAGCACTCATATACAGGTATGTAGTATGCATCGAGTCAACTTGTTCTAGGATGGACTTTATGGTGGTTCCCAAATTCTGATATCAACAATAGCTCCGTTTGTCGGACACTTCTTCTCGCCACCATTCCTTCTGCTCTTGTGCTTGGTACATAGCTGGAATCTCGTTGGACACTACTGATATATTTTATAAGACAACTGCGTAAGAGTTTTTTGAAACAGCCTTATGCAAGGTTTTCGACATATTTCATCTACTATATCGTTCCACACACCTGACAAATTATCATGGGAATGGTAAACAATTTTTTGGCTCATGCAACTCCGTCCCTCCCGAAAAGACTGGGCGCAGGGAGAGGGCCGAGTTTATTGTACAGGTCGAATGATCCACTAAATATGAGCCTGCAGACTACACCAGCGGTCACTCCCAGTTTTCTAATACAATGTGTGAAGCTTTATCATGAGTTCATCAATATGCTTCACACGCCCACGGGCGCTTGAGGCTCTCTCAACATGGAACGTTGCTGTCAGACGCCCTTATTTCGGTTACTGATCCCTCCTTGTAAATTCATTAAGCATGAGAGAACTAAATTGCCAAACTCTGTCCGCTTTTTTCTCTCTGACGATGAGACTTCTCGAAACTACACTGGTGTGCAAAACTTAAGGACGGAAGTAACTTTCACATGTTATCTTACTGCTAGTTAACCTAGGTGGACCAAATTTTGCACATATGCAGAAGTAAATGTTGCGGTACAGTGCAGAGAGTTACTAACAGGAAAGCGCAAAGGGCGATTGGAAAAGACATTTTTCTGCAAATACCCTGTCTGAAGTGGTCGATAGGTGAGGCTTGTCCAACTCATGGTAGACACTCAAAAGAGAGGAGCTGATTCTTGATGGGGTGTATGAACTCTACGGACTGCAAAGTATGCTTTGCTACGTGTTCCCATACAGGCCGTAAGATTAGTTAAAAGCTCTTAAGGAGAAGTGACCGATTCCTTGGAGACCGCGATTGACAAGGACTATTGTTGGCACATAGTCATGTGCTACAATAGCTCATCTGAATCCAAGCCACACGTGCTCCATAGACCACCCAGGCTGCTCGATACTCTCGCACACTGCCCTCCATACGATTGAAGCTGAGGGCAAGGGAACCCTTGGAAAGATGCACATGACACCGCACCGCAATCACGTTGATCAGAAATTGTAACGCGATCATGAGTTGGGGATCAGTACGCCCCGACAACTTTATGCCTCCCCACATCATGTCGCATGGACTACCAAAACAACCATGTTAAACGATGGTCCTGGGTAGATTACACGTTCCTATTTTCCCCATATGCAGGTATGTCCAGAATCACTACTCACATTCAGTTTGCTCTTGACCGGGAAGAATACGCGATTTTTCAATCCGGTGGTCCATCTCCAATGTCTCGGCTCGTACCAAATGTCCCAGCCGGGGCAAGGATTTCAAATGAATACAGGTATTGTTGGTCGATGAGAGAGATCACCCCTATGCGGTCACTGCGCCACTGTCCTGACTGGGATTACATGCCCTACAATCATGATAAATGTTCTTGCTACTGCAGCATGTGACTGACGTGGGTCCATTTTTGCCTGAAGCAAAACCTAGCAATCACCTGCTGCTGCGGTGTTCGTGACCCACAACCTCCTCTTCTTGGGACAGCAGTGGCTGCGGTCCACATTGCTTCTCATGCACAAAAAACAATGCTGTGGTTGACACAAAACTCCTGGACACAACTTCCTTTTTACAGTCTCCCAATGATTCTTCCTCGCGTAAAGTCACCCTAGTGTTGTCTCCGAGACTTGATGTAATCAAGAACGCCACTACATTCCACAGTCACTTCTCCCTGCTCAGTTTACCCCTCTTGTCCTGCCCCACGATACCCATCGTTCTGGATGGCCACCCTATTTAGGCTCCAGATTGAAGCCGGATGCAAGACATATGAGGCCCACTTCGATGCCCATGACTGTAAGGCGTCTAGCATTATGCCCGTACAGTTTCATCCAATCTCATCTAATTGTTAATAAGTTAGGACAATTTATCTATCTCGTCCTTTAGTTTTGCACACCAGTGTAAAAGGATTTGTAAAATATCCGCTCACTGAACGAATAGCCTTGTGGGAGAGCTAAACACACTTTATTTATTTATTTATTTATTGGTCAATCACAGAATAAGGTAGGTATGGCACAATTGCAATCATGTTATTCAAAACCGATTGATTTTTCTCAATAGCTAGGGCAAGGTAACTGAAACTCCATAAGATCCCGAGAGAAAGTGTGTATTAAGAAAGCTAGGGAGCAGTGCGTTCTACACGTTTTATGTGGTCTTTTTTCACTGACAGACCGCATAGGAAAACTTTCAAATGTGGAGCCACGAGCCACCGAGCCCTGAAAATAACCAACTGCCGAGGCCGCAGCCAACAGTGGCGAGTGCCGTATGCACCTCTTTGATCTAAACATGAACCCCAGGAGCTGGCTCGGGGGTGCTTACGAAGGCTGTCTACTGGGGAGCAAAGCGTGGTTGACGTTGGATTAGTTCAGCATTGTGATGAAAAACGCTATAAGCGTTAAAACCAATAGGTAACACAGACTCTGGAATAATGTAGCTATAAGACTTTTGACTTAAGGATGCACTTAGTTGAAAGCATCACCAGATCCCTTGAACTTCCATGAAGGCTCACCATTCCTATATGAAAAAGAGGATCGCATCATCATTCGTGGAAGAGTTATAAGTGTAAAATTGGTCAGCGACTTTCTTTTACGCTGGTCCACTGTGACAAAACTAGCACTTGCTAACACACATATGATCATGATCGTTCAGAAGTTTCATCTCAGAAGTGGTCTTGCATGAAGTAGCTTAGAGCAAATGAAAGCTAAGATGACTGTAGAGCAGGATTAGTTGTGCTAACAAAGCTGAAATCAAAATATCAAAGGAGACTATTCAATTCAAATATCCACGAAAGGAATAAAAGAAAAAAAGTTATATAACGCGAGAAAATAGAGAAAAATGGTGGATTAATACAAACTGTATACTGCATATAAATGAGAAAAAAAATAAAAACAGCAATAATTGGAAAAAGCATATGAAAAGCTGGCAGAGAAGTTTACGGTGAGCTTTGCCCACTGTCGCTTGCGTTAGTAAATTGCTAGGAAGCAGTTCCACGGTCCAAGGATGCCTGGGAAAGCAATCGGGCCCAAAATTTCAAGAATTTTCTACTTTTGGGCTTTCTCATAATGGTTGCCCTGCCCATCATAAATAGTCTTGAACGAGTTGGCAACACACTGCTAACTTCAACCATTTTTTTTCGTTTTCCATGCTGCTTGGAATAATTTTCGAAATTTCGCTGTGAGCACCGCCCATTTAGGTGTGCTCTAGCCCATAGACCAATATAACGACCCACTTTTTCGACACCAAAGCCGGCTCATTTTTTGACCATAGAAATGTGGCCTGATAGCAGTCCAAATTTGAATCCATCATACTTCTTTCTTTGCGCATTCATTGAAAAGTAGTAAGGAATCGAAAGAAATGTTTTGTAGTTTTGAAAAAAAAGCTTTCAAAACTTAAAATACTAGGTTGAGCGGAAATTATCCGCCGTTTTCATTCCCACATAACTTTATAACGAACCAGTCTACAATGCAAATGATTGATCAGCAAACGTTCTCGAACATCGCTCTCTGTAACGACCCCATCATCCCCAGCGTTGATTCTATGAGCAGACACAGAGGCTTAATTTCTCTTTGTGTAGCATGGGCTTTTTTGCTCGCGTGACATAAGCTCCGTAGTGAAACATAGGCCCAAGGCAGCAAAATGTAATAATGCGCCCTTTCGGACTACATCGTAGTCTTCGAAGGTAAACAGCAAAAAATAAAAGAGCCATCAGCCTGAAAAAAACGGCGTATAATTTACGCCGAACCTATAAATTAGGCGTTGATCACCTCTTGCACCATCGACTCGATAACGAAACGAATTTAGGCCTGTAGCAAACTGATGACGGCCACTTAACAACTCCTCTGCTATTATAAAATGTCTTGGTTATGGTATGAAACTAATTCTTTTAAACTTTTTGTGGAAAAAAACAAAGTTTGAGCGTTTTTGATGGCGATTGTAATTTCTCGCCTTTCATGAAAATTGCATGTAGTTACTTCACAATCAAGGTCATTTTTGTTATCGTCTCACGTGCACACGAATCTGAATACTGGCTCAGTAATATTTCTACAGCACAGTCGAGACATAATGAGTTTGAGCATTGAGGTGCTAATACACTTCATTACCTCAGTGGTGGTATCGTCGCTACAGTTTTGACTACGTTTGTGGCCTCAATCCGGTGGAAGACTGATAACGATGACAAGGTGACGAATCGATGCCTTATTATTTGACGAAATTCCTATCCATAACGATTCTATGAACAGCCTTTACAGATCGTCTACGAAACGAAGGCATTTGCCTTGCTCTGGAATCTCTTCTTCATGCCAATGCTCTTCGCGCTGATCGGCATGAAGCTGGACTTTTCAATGGTTACAAGTCAATCAGCATTCTTATTCCAACTAAAGGTCACCATTTCTCTTACAGATGACGTGGCCAACAGTGCTGACTGGATGCGCGCTGATCGCTATTGGGGCCGTTTTCAGATTCTTCTCGGGAATCATCTTCACCTGCTACTCCGACTTTAACTTAAAAGAGCAACTTCTACTCGCAACCTCCCTCTTACCCAAAGCCACTGTCCAGGTAAGTCCCACACAAAGCGTTTGAAATAATGAAGTTCAAATACAAAGGTTTCACTTCCATGAAGACTGATATCGCAGTGCAGGATACAGGGTGTCACTATGAAGAAAAATATTGACGAACTCAAACGCGGACACCAGATGTGCCGAGTACCACCAAAAACAACATATTTGTCCTTTTTTTCAAAACGAAGCTTGCTTAAGAAGGTTTTGGCTAATATTCCTTCGTACTTGTGCCATTTCTCAGTGCTAGAGACTCTGGATATTTATTCAGCAAAAAATAAGGATCACAGGGATAAAGCAGTTGCCGTTGACCAATCCTATTTGGGATGCCGTACGCATTCTGCTTTCATTTGTACACTCGTAGTGGTACTTGACTGCGATTTGGCCATGCAAGAAATGCGGGTGCCAGCCCATGTACAAGTCAGCGTTTCTCTCCTCCCACACAAGTCTAGTACAAACCAACTGACCTCGGGGGTTGGAGGAAGCGCGAACCGGGATTCAATCCCCAGACCGCGCGTGGTAAGCAGCGCCACTTGCCACTACACCACTTCCGCATATCACCCAAGAATATACTCGATATCTCGAAGTCGGATTAGGCGTGGCTCTGGGTTTGACGTGGTGGTTGCCGCACTTGATAGAGGTGGCGCTGATTAGATATTCAGCATGCTTTACTGATATCCAACAAAGTATGTTAGAAACAGCCTTTAATACGGCTCCTATCAAGTGCGACTACGGCCACGTCAAACCCATAGCCACGCCTAATCTGACTTCGAGATATCGACTGTAGTTTCTTCGTTTAATTTTTGTTGTTGACTTCAGTTTGACGTGAAGGAATCGTCTTTTAGGTCAATAATGAACTTCATTAGAAAAGCAACAGCAAAGCGCATCAGTATAGAAAATATTGCCGATTCTAATCGAATATTTATGTCGGTTAAGTTGCTTCTGCAAGTAATGAGCAAATTCTTAGACTGAAACTTTTGAGTGCGACTGTGAAGACTTGAACACCATATTCAGTCGAGGTTCTTTAACATTTTTTCAGCTTAGCGGTCCTATTCTTACCGGAATAAGTGGGAATAAGAAAGCACCGGTTCTCTTCCATCGCGCGCATGAAGCAGAATCTGCCAGCCGAGAACCTCAATTTTTTGATATGCAATTTTCGCGATAGGGTCTTTAGTTTGCAGTCGCAGCGCCTGGTCTCCGCGGGCGAGTGAATTCAGTAGTAACCGGACTCATAATCATCACTTCAAAGTACGCCAGCGCCGCACTGTTCGACCGTCTTTCCAGTTTCAGAATCGGGTTCAGCCGTTCATCTAGTGGAGGAAGTGCGACTTTCATTCACCTCCACCCCGTGTACTATGGTTTTTGTAAGCTGACACAGAAACAGCTCACCAGGAAAGGTAATTTGGTCAACCTGGAAATTTGAAATGAGATGCATATGTATGAGTATACAGTACTCGCCGTTTGAAATCGAAAATTCACGCGAATAACGCGAATCCTCGTTAATTTCGTGAATTCGTTATAACTCGGGTCAGAGTGAAGTATTTAGAAACGGAAAACACCGTTGAACTCAGCTCTTCAAGCGCTACAAGAAGGTGCTAAAATATTTTCATAAAGCTTGATTTCGGAATGCGCCATGCACTCGATTTCATCTCAAAAAGTAGTTGCTCGCATGTGATGTGTATACAATCCCGCAATCCCAATTACTAGCTTTACGTGTTCCCTCTGCTCTCAATATCCCATCCTCTGTATATCAGAAAATCTTATGAACATTCCAGCAGCTATCAGTGGGCCTATTATGTAACTTTTCCATTTTCAGAGAATTTTTGCAGAAAGCTGTGAAGCTAGCGCGAAACAATTTCCTTCACATCGTAAGACTACGTCGCCTAGTCTGTAAAGATTATATGGAAACCTTTGGTCGCAGATAGCGGTTTCTTCCCGTTGGCTGTACCCAACATCACCCCTTGTCATCGCCTTTGCCCCCACTAACAATCCCATTTCGAGGATGTTGTGAGACAGCGTGTACAGGACAGCGAAAGAATTTCTTTCACCCTGTTCATGACTATGGCATCTTGTCCTGTAGGAGTATTATGTGGAAAACTCGGTCGCAAGTAAGCGTTCCTTCCGTGTGTTCGGCCCCAAACATGCCTCCTCGTAATGGCCCTTGTGAATGTCAGATTCCTTATTTGCACCTTCCAAATGAACTCGCCAGACCCTGAAAATTGCTCCTTGCTTCTCCGTAAAAAAGCGAGCAAAATGATAGCGATTACTTCCACGCCTGAAACTTTGGTTTTCAGCCTTGCAGCATTCCCCTATATCCCACGGATTACTGCCCACAAAATTCTCAAGTTTCATTGTTCGTCGCAACTTTGTCTATTGGGGTATATCGATGCCACTGGCATTACGATATTGACATCATTTTGACTGAGCTAGTGCATTTGCGCCATTTGGCGCTGTTTTGCGCCACACAGCTGTTCACAAATCTGCTTGGAACCTTTCGTCAATATTGGGTTATTTGGGTCCCTTATTACGCAAAACGACACCTTTCTTGGCGCTGCGCTAATGGGACCGTTTGGCGCAATTTGTCGCCACAGCTGTTCTCACCCAAATCTGCTGACCAACTTTGGGGTTATTGGGGTTCTCATCACGGAATATAACATTCCGCAGTCTTGACGCGGCGCACATTGTGTGCCCCCATAACAACACTTCACAGTCAAGCAGCGTTACTCTTAGGCACCTTTCTCACTAGCCGCTGACTGTTCAGACCGTGGATAAGTCATCGAAATCGGAGATCTTTCCTACGATAGGAGGAGCCAGACCGTGGGAAATGTCTTTGAATCGAACTGTGGTTCCCATGACATGAAAGATCCAGATCTGTGGGAAGGGTCGCCGAATAAGACTTTTCGTTACATAAAAGGGATCAGAACGTGGGAAAGGTCAGCCGAATCCAGACTTTACCAACGACAGAAGAGCCAGACCGTGCAAAACTGTGAGGCAAGCCAGAAAGCAATATTCAACATTTTCCAATGGAGATCCGTATGCGTTGTGGCAGAGCAGCACATTCGACCTGTAAGCATCTCCAAGTCTGCCACTTGAGAGATGGTGTACCTGTGCTCGATGTACTAACTTCATATGAGTCCGCAGTAGAGTTGCAACGTCTTTCCGTCGACCACGAAGATTTCACGTTCCTCTTTCAATCCTCCAAACAGGCCACTATGGTCTTGCGTAACCCAACGTCCGCGTTGCATTTGCGTCTTGATAACCAGTGTTCGTACAAGTTACCATCTCGCATCCGAACCTCCGATGGATCGGCGGGTTTCCGTCCTGAAGTGCCACCACCATGCGCACGCCGAAGAACCGCTCCCACTGAACTTGAACTGAACTTGATGTGGCCGACATTGAGCTCGTTATTCTCTTGTCCTTCAACCTTGCCCATGTCCGCTCAGCCAGAAATAGGGCAGGCGCACACCTGGGACTCAGGAAAGTTACAGGTCTAGAAAAGAATCCTTTCGGCTGAACGTAGACGCTTGGATCTCGTTTCGATTGGCCAGTGCGGCACGCTCGGCCCAAAATAACCCGCGAAGACGAAGTTTCAAGCAGATTTGGTGAAGACAAGCTTGGCGCCAAATTGGCCCGCAAACGCGCCAAATGGCCAGCGCTAAAAGTACGGGCGTCGTTTTCGCATCATCAAGTACCTCACAATAACCCAAAATGACGGAAAGTTTCAGCCAGTTGGTGAAAAACAGCCGTGTGCGCCAAATGACCCAAACGGCGCCAAAGGCTCCAAATGGCACCATGCACCAAGAGTGAATGCTCATACGTTAATCAGCCATCGCAATTACCCAAGTAGACAAAGTTTCGACGAAAAAATGAAGCTTTGAGATTTTGGGCAGTAATCGTGGGATATCAAGGGGAATGCTGAAAACGGTGAAAGCAAAGTATCAACTGGGAAGTAATGCATATCATTTCGATAGCATTCTTCACGGGGAGACTAACGGGTCACATTGCATGTCGCTAGTTTCATTTAGAAATGAAAAAAATCTAACATTCCAGCAAGGGAATGACGAGGAGGCATGTTTGGGGTCACCACACGGAAGAAACGCTCACCACTGCGACCAAAGGCAAGTTTCCATATAGTTCTTACAGACAAGCGACCGTAGTCTCCACAGGAATAAAATTGTTCGCTATCTTCACAGCTTTCTGCAAAAACAATGTCCTCTGAAAATGGAAAACGTCACATAATGGGCCACTAATCCTGCCGAGAACTGTTCAAGAGTATCCACTTGAAATACAGAGTGATGGGATATTGAAAGCAGAGGGAAGCACGTAAAGCTAGTAACGCTTGAAAAGAAATGAAGATCTAAGAATTCGAAACTAACATTCATCTAATCTCACAATGTACTGGATGAGATTAGTACGTGCGACATTCTGGTAGTTTTGAGGCCCTTCTTTGTTTGTAGCGGTTAGCCCGCATAAGCGGGATTGTATACACATCACATTCGAGCAACTACTTTTTGAGATGAAATCGAGTGCATGGCGCATTCCGAAATCAAGCTTTATGAAATTAGCGCCATCTTGTAGCGCTTGAAGAGCTGAGTTCAACGGTGTTTTCCGTTTCTAGAATACTTCACTCTGACCCGAGTTATAACGAATTCACGAAATTAACGAGGATTCGCGTTATTCGCGTGAATTTTCGATTTCAAACGGCGAGTACTGTACGTGCCTTGAGACGGTGAGCTCAATCATGGGTTCCTCATCTGCTGAACTCTTCACTGAAAGGAATTATGAAGCAAAAAAGCGCAGGGGCTGCGGTCAAGGCTCACGAAAAAGAGGTCAGGGGATCAACCCCCTGACGAGTTTGTTCTTTTGCCCGTTTGCAGTAAGGTAGCTAGGAAGACTCTCAACATCGCTAGTCCAACATGCGCGTATAGTTAACAGTACGAAGAATTTATAGGCAATAAATAACGAACTTGGGCAGCACCGCACCTCACTAATTTGAGCGCTTGTAGCGCAGGCCCCAGGCATTTT